GGATTGACCCAGTGGCTGCAATGATGCCTCAAACACAGCAAGCATTATGAGGTGACAGAGGACAGGGCAGTGTTTCATTCTGTTGTATACAGGGTCACTGAGTTGTACAACTCAGTGGTACCTAACAACAACAATAACCCTCCAAAAATCTTATTAAATATTTAATTTTTCTCATTAGGGAGAAATTAATTTAATTTTTTTTCTTAGGGGGTGATAATGAAAAAAGGTTGAGAAACACTGTATAGATTGGCAATCACAGTAAATGCTGGAAAACTACAGAAAGCGTGGATATAAGGCAAGTTGGTGAGAAAGAAATAGTCCAGAGACTGTTAATAATTTAGTTTAGTGAGGGATTGATGATTTTCTGTATTTAGTACTGTCTTGTTCCTTTCATTCTCTTTACCACCAAAGTAATTCCACCTTGTGTTTATTTAAAAGTGAGCCTTCATGACAGGGAAGGAGCCCCTGGGTAATGCAAATGGTCAGCACTCAGCTAATAACTGAAGGAGTGGTGGGTGGAATCCACCCAGAGGTCCCGCACAAGAAATGCCTGGCAATAGACTTTTCTAAAAGATCATAGCCATTTTAAACCCTATGGATCACAATTCTAATCTGAAACCCAGGGGGTTAAAATCGACTCTAACTCTATGGTAACTGTTTTTTTCTTTCTTTTTTAATATATGAGCTGTAATAAAAGTTTAAATAATATTTTTAAAAGCTCATTCCCTTAAGGGCTGACTTTAATAATGTGTGGAGTTGCTCCAACAAAATCATCAAAGCCCAACTAACACACTAACACAAGACCTGAAAAACCACAGACTGATGTCTTCCTAAAAATTCCCATGTTGTGGACAGAGTCAGGAATGATTCTACAAAAACTTATGTTCAAGTCTTCAGTTGCAAGCTCTTTACCTCTTTCTCACAACAGAATTTTTTTTACTGACTCAAACTGAAATTCATATCAGCAACAAAGAGAATTCTCATGCTAAGGGTTCCTGCTTTTCTGAACTTCTTCAATTGTGAGTGTCCTCTCATTTGAGTAGGTTGAACTCTTAAATCCCAAAAGATCTATTATGCTGTTGCAAAGGATCCTTTGGCACAGAAGCTAAGAGTAACACCAATAATCCAGCTGTAGGACCACTGTGAGATTCAAGACTTTGCATCAAAGGACTGTATCCTCTTAACTCTCATCAAGTTTGCTTGCTGTATGGCGTAGTTGTGAAGAATACGCCTCTGAAGTCAGACTGCCTGGTTCCAATCTTGGCTTCAATATTTAACATAGACATTTAAACACAGTTCTTTAATTTTTCTTTATCTCAGTATCCACATTTGTGAAATGATAAAATAGTAACACTGCCTGTTTTAATACAATGTTGTTGTTATGTGTCGTCCAGTTATGTGTCTCCGACCCATAGTGACCCCATGTACAACAGAACAAAACATTGTCCAGTCCTGTGCCAGCCTCACTATCCCTACTATACCTGAGCCCATCGCTGCAGCCATCATGTCTATCCATCTCATTGAGGGCCTTCCTCTCTTTTGCTGACCCTCCAGTTTACGAAGTATGCTGTTCTTCTCCAGGGAATGGTCCCTTCTGACAATATGACCAAAGTAGGTAAGACCAAGTCTGGCCATTCTTGCCTCCAAGGAGCCTTCTGGCTGCACTTCCTCCAGGACAGACCTGTTAGTTCTTTTAGCAGACCACGGTACTTTCAGCATTCTTCGCTGACACCACAGCTCTCACATATATATGAGGCAATTGAAAATACCATGCCTTGATATAATGTAATGTGTTAATAACATCAATTAGCTCCTATTTGCCTTGTAAGTAGAAGAATTATATCAATAGAATATGGAAATTGTTAACATACAATTATTTTTTTTCAGAGCAGAGTCAGAGTGGCTGGAGTAGAATTACAACAACATTCAGACGTAAAGAAAAACACGTCCAGCTTGGCACAATCCCTCTCGAACATACTTTCCGAATATTAAAAGTCAGTGTCTACACCAAGGACTCCCTCCTTAGAGAGGCTCCCCGAAGCCTTCAGACTTCCTCCTTGCTACACTTGCTCCTGTGCCCACCTTAGCAGCAGCCACACTGGCCCCGAGCACGCCCTCCATCTGTGCTGTTCTAGCATTTCTACTTTATTATTGTTGTACATTTTTAATAGCCCCTGAATAGTAGCCTGCCTGTGCTATCCAATTCATCTCCCAAGCCACCAATTATTTAGTACTCTGGTTATAAAGTTGCAAAAGTTTTGAGTCATCTATGCTAACCGTATTTTCCACATAAGCCCTGTTATTTATAATGTGTGATTTTTGCAGAGGGTGAGTGCGGTGTAGTAAATTACTTAGTGTGGCTTTTCTACCCATGAATCTTTGTAAACTCCAAGGTGGGATTTTCTATGAGCAACTGAGGAGCTCCTGATTGCTGAAGCTATCCACCTGGGTTATTTCTGTTGGGCGTGGCACAACACAATGTTCTGGGAGGTTCCCACTCTCTCTCACGTGCTTAGAGTTCTGATGCTGTGATTGGCTAGTTTGACCACCCTTCCAGGCTCAAAAGGAGGCCTCCTGGAGGCAGAACTCTCTCAGACTGCTGGTTGAGGAAGACGTGCTGCCGAAAGAGACACGCGCCCCTGAAAGAGACACGTGCTGCTGGGAAAGAGACGCAAGAGACACGCATTGCTGAGTGAGACACCGAGGGACCAGCACTGCTGGGAAAGAGACTGTGAGAGACTGTTGGCTGAGGGACGGTGGGCTGGGAGAGACTGAGCGTTCTTCCTGAACTTGAGCTGTTGCCTGGTGCTTCCCTAATAAACCCCATAATCTGTGAGTTCTGTGTGGCCACTGCAGTGAATTATCGAACCCAGGAGAGAGGTGGTGGGTGCTTTGGGAGAAATGGTTGGTAAAAGGGCTGGAGGGAGGCAGCATGTCTGGCCTCGCAGGAATAGGCCTTGGGCTATTGATAGTAATTCTGTCTTCCTCTCGTGGGATTACAGGAGGTCAGAACATGTGGCCTCCTTGTAGTTTTTGCAGTGAGTTTCCCACCACCCCCTCCAGGGGCGGGGGGGAAAGCCCTGAACATTTACAGACTAAATGCTAGTAGTAGATGCCAGGATTAAATGATGATCTGTGTAAAGGATATGGTACACTCTATGGCATGTAATAAACTGTCATTAAGTGTTAGTTGTTGTTGTTGTTGTTGTTGTTTGCCATCGAGTCAGCCCGACTCATAGCGACCCCTCCTTGGGTTTCCGAGGCAGTATCACTACGGAAGTAGGATTGCCCAACCTTCCTTCCGAGGAGTGGCTGGTGGGTTTGAACCGCCAGCCTTCTGGTTAGCAGTCAAGTGCTTTAGCCACTATGCTACCAGAGCTCCCATTAAGTATTAGTAGCTGACGTTTACTACTACTCCTAGCCATGTGCTTACCAAGGCAAATCAGGTCCTCAATGTGAAAGCTCTCCTCCAATTCTGAGACCTGGAATATTCTGCCCTTCTCTTTAACTTTTCAAATCCTATATTTAAAATCCAAGTCTTTAAAAAAGCCTCATTATTAATCTAGAATCAGTCATATTAAAGCATATACACTTCCCACTCAACTTGATTATCAGATAGCTGAAGGCAAGAACTAAATGTATCCCTATCATAAAACTTGAGATGTGCTTAGTCACATGTCTAGAAACTAAAGAATATTATAAGCTTTTAAATAATTTTGATACAAAGAGAATAAACAAGTAGAGCCTACAGCATCATGAGATAAAATTAGTCTGATTTTCCTTTCAGAGTAGGGAGGCAGAGTCAACCTCCTCGTAAGCTTTTCAAGGCTGCGACCTTTCTTGAAGCATCTTGCCAGGCCCGTCTTCTGAGGCTTTTTTGGGAGGGTTCAAACCACCGACCTTTTGGCTAGTAGTTGAGCGATCAACTGTTTGTGCCACCCAAGGACCCCTTAGAGGTATAATGATCACTTAAAATCATTTTTCATGGTTAGTATGTGTCTTGGTACATAGCGCAGGCCGTGAATGTGGAGGAGTCTCAGTAACTGTTTACTGCTGTCAATGAAATGGAAAGCGATGCATGCTTCACTTACTTTATATATTAGACTGTCCACCAAAAGGTCATGTTGGATCACATTGGTCTTGAGCTGCTCATAATACAAGACATCCTAAATGTAAAAAGTAAAGCAAACAAGAAAATTCCAAGTCAATCACATTTATAAAATCAGCCTCAAACTTTAGTAAACAAACATCATTAATAAATTACAAACTCCAAGAGGGCAAGGACTTTGTTATGTTCACTGCTACATCCCCCACACCTGGCTACTGGATAAATATACCCATATCCACCACTTAGAATAAGGTCTGGATTGTGGTAGGTATTCAGTCAATACATGCTAAATTGATTAACTGTAATTTAACTTGAACAGATGTAGTATTTATTAAGTACTTGTTAGGTGCCAGATACCGTTTTACCCATTTTATATGAGTTGAACTCATTTAGTCCCGTACCAACACAATGAAGTAGGTTGTTATAATCACCGCTGACATTTGAGAAACTGAGGTCTGGAGAGAAAAGTAACTTGCTGTCCAAGGCTAGGAAGATTTCATCCTGGGAAAACTGGCTCAAGAACTATACAAAATTCCAAAAGGACTATCCTCCCTTTCTAATATCTAAATTGTTACAAAATTAAAAGTATAAACAAATGCACCATCCCTGGTAGTAAAAACAGTCATATAGCATCTCAAAGAAGTCAGTTTTCTTATATAAGAATATGGTTTCATAATAGTTTAAAGTCTGATGAATTCTGTATAATGCAGAGATTAGAGACTAATGCTTAATTTAATAGAGAATGCAATAGACTAGAGAGAAGGAGAAAGGGGGAGAACAAGGGAAGAAAAGGAGAAGTAAGGAGAGAAAGAGGGAACAGGGGAAGAGGAACTTGAGACCAAGTTAAGAAAAGCATCAGGTTGATAGTTGGTCTGGGCATTAGGAACAAAGGTAAGGATCAAGTGGGTAGTAGCTGTGCTAAAGAGAGATGGAAGTGGCATCTTAGCATTAGCTGGCCCCTGTGTTCCTACAAATCTCTCCACTCATCTCTCAGAGATGGTAGCCCTGGTCTCTGCTATCATTTCCAAATGCTCTATTGTTGTTGATGTTGTTGTTGTTGTTATGTGCCGTCAAGTCAGACCCAACTCCTAGTGACCCCTCCCTGGGTTTCCGAGGCAGTATCACTTCCTTCTGAGGAGCGGCTGGTGGGTTTGAACCGCCAGCCTTCTGGTTAGCAGTCAAGTGCCTTAGGCACTACGCTACCAGAGCTCCTAACATAGAAATGCTCTATTAGGAAATACCAATCTGTCAGATACTTTTGGAAGACATTCTCCCAAACAAGTGAGATTTGTGGGACAAGGTCTCTGGAGCAAGGGAATATCTATTGCATGTAGCTCTCTTGGCAGCATGATGTCTGATCCTACATTTCCTGAAATATGATTTTGGTCTGGAGAGATATTTAATCACAGTTCTCTAGTTTAAGTCACAGCACTCTTTGCCTTAAGAGAATCTGGGCATTTGCTGGCTATTTTTTGTTCTCATTCATGATGTTTCAATTTTTAACTAAAGCAAAAATTACTTTGCTGTTTTATCTACCTCCCATGATATAATTATATCATGGGAGGTAGAAAAATTATA